TTCCTGCAATCATTTTGCTTTTGTCTAGGAGCTAACACAAGACTCCTAATTTAATTAAGAAGCCTCTACAAGATTCCTAGTTCGGTTACAATTCTTCAGCCATGACACATCTTGTTTGAGGGTATCAATTCCTTATTGAACATTCCCAAACCCAAGTATCACTTCTAATCATCCAAGATCCAACATATTAGAATATTGTTCATACATAACGTCAACCATTGATATATTAAAATGATTGAAAGAAACCTCAAGTCTTAAAAACTTCTTAGGTTTAACACTAGTATTGCCTTTGCACATGAGTGAAAGCATGCCTCTGATGGTGATTATTCTTTAACTGTTCACTCATTTGGATCACCAAAATGTATATCCTGCGCACACCCATATACAGGTTTACATCTCCACCTAGTGCTAGTCACCCACAATCTCCTTTTTTCCTCAATTGCATTACTTCAAATAGCTAATGTGATGTAAAACATATTACATTCCTGATTCTACAAGTCGCCTTTGTGCCACACCCCCCGAGGCAAGCCCAAACAAGTCCATGTTAGGGTCCCATTTGCTAATGTTGTTCATTCATTCATTTTAATAAAATATCTTCTTAAAAAACAATTAAAATTATAGAAACATTATTCTTTGTATGAGAGCTAAGAATTAAGGACCCTAACATGGACTTGTTTGGGCTCGCCTCGAGAGGCATGGTCAGGGTCCGAGGGCTCTGCCCCCGGCCCAGCCGCTAGATCAAAAAAGGAAAAAAGGCGTAAAAATTTCAAAAGGTGCAAGGCACATCAGGCGCATGCCTAGGCGCACCAGACGTGCACCTTTTGAAAGTGTTGCACCTAGGACCTGGGCGAGGCGCCTACCCTAAAATGCGCCTCACCTGTGTGCCTAGGCGAGCCTTTTAAATAATTGTGCTAGTGGTTGAGATTTTACGACCTCATCATATAGTAACCATATATGTGCCAACCATATAAGAGAGCTAGCTACACATGCTTGCTCCCAATTGGGATGTTGGGCGAGGCGCCTACCCTAAAATGCACCTCACCTGTGTGCCTAGGCGAGCCTTAGGCGCGCCTTTTAAATCATTGTGCTAGCGGTTGAGATTTTACCACCTCATCATATAATAACCATATATGTCCCAATTGAAATGTTTCAAGTCTATAATGAAGCAAGTCATTAGACCTCTCATGTTAGACCCTCACTCAACAGTCAACATCTTATAATTAAAGTTAAAAATACAACATGATGGTTTAAACATGCATAAAAAATAAGTTTCAAACACTAAACTTAGGTGGCGTTTGATTGCACTTTTTAGAGGTCTGAATCTGAAAATGCTACTTTTCAGATCTCACCCCTTGTTTGGTTGTACCTCTTAACTTGGGTCTGAAACTGATTTTCATATCTGAAAATCATAGACCTTAGGCCGGCTCTTAACGCATTCAGGCGCGTTTCACAGCCGTCCCAATGTCCAAAATATCCTTACAATTTTTTGTAAATGACCCGAGTTACCCCTGATACCCCCAAACCCAAAAAACCTAAACACTCAACCTCTCTTTCTCTCTAGCTCTCTCTCTCCCTCTCTCTCTCTCTCTCGATCTCTCTCTCTCCACACTGTCTTCCTGCCACCGCCGCTGCAAGTTGCAATGGTGGCTCTCTCTCTCCCTTGTCTTCTCTCTCGCTCTCGTCTTTTCTCTCTTCGCCCTGTCTTCCTGCCACCGCCACTGCAAGTTGCAGTGGCGGCTCTCTCTCTCCCCCTGTCTTCTCTCGCTCTCGCTTTCGCTCTCTCTCTTCGCCCTGTATTCCCGCCACCGTCGCTGCAAGTTGCAACGCCAGCTCTCTCTCTCCCCCTATCTTCTTTCTCTCTCTCTCTCCCTGTCTTCTCTCTCTCTCTCCCTCTCTCTCCCTCTCCCTCTCTCGCTGCATGTTGCCGATTGCTCCTTCCCGCTCTGTAAAACTCCCCTACCCTCTTTCTCCATTTCTTTCTCCTCCCAGACCCCTTGCTCCTTCCACCGCCTATCCCACCTTCGACGTGAAGTAGAGGACCGGCGTAGTATCGCCACTGACTTCACCAGATAATCTGGGCTTCTGTGAAGCTTAGAAGCAAGCTACCCCCTTCTCACCGAAGTTCAGTTAGGCCATTCCCTTCTCCCGTTTGGGCAAAGCACCGGTTTATCTTCTATGAAGACAGATGGCTTCGTTGGTGAGTCGAGAGGGCTTCGCCGGTGGGATAGAGAGGGCTTCGTCGGTGGGATCACATGGCTTCTACTAAGAGGGCTTTCACAGTGTTCATCATCTTATGATTTTTTCTCTCTCTCTACCCTGTCTTCTCGCCACTGTCGCTGCAAGTTGCAGCGGTGTCTATCTCTCCCCCTGTTGGTTCTCTCTCTCTCTCCCTCCCCTGTCTTCCCACCACCACCACCGTCGCTACAACATGCAGCAACGATGGTTCGGTGAATAATAATAATATTTTTAATAATTATTAATTATAAATTATTTTATTAATAATTAATTATTTTAATATTTTTTATTCAACATTAATTAGTTTTTATTAAATTTATTTGTGTTATTTATTAATTATTAATTATAAATTATTTTTATTAATTATGTTAATACTTTTTATTAAACATTAATTATTTTTATTAAACTAACTTGTGTAATTTATTAATTAATAATTATTTTTATTAATTATTAATTATTTTAATATTTTTTATTAAACATTAATTATTTTTTATTAAATTATTTGTGTTATTTATTAATTAATAATTATTTTTACTTTTTTTTGGGAAAAAGGTAAAGTAATTTTATTCAGTGAGAAAGTAGATTACAACAAGACTCAGGCCAACTAGATCTTCCTGGGCCCAAAACAGATTACAAGAACATCCATGATTTAGTACAAAGAAGGAGAGAAACATTCTGACTTTTAAACTCCTCATTCACCGATACCCAGAAGCAAATCTTCCCCACCACTTTATGCACAATCTCATCTGGACTTTTTGATTGATTATAAAAAATTTTGTTGTTTCTTTCCATCGAAATGGACCAAAGAACAGCCTGCGGAATAGTATTCCAAACAAGCCTTCCTTTCTTGCTACGACCCTCCAATCTCCAACTCATAAACAGCTCCTTTACAGACTTAGGCATAGCCCGACACACCTCCAGTTTCTTGAAGAAATGTCCCCTAGTTAATAATTATTTTCATTAACTAGTAATTTTTAATTATTTCATTAATTTTTAAAAATTATTTTAATTTTTATTTGTGTAAATTATTAATTATTTTAATATTTTTATAGTCATTTTTATTATTTTAATCGTTTTCATTTATAATTAGTAATTATTAATTTTTTATTTTTTATTTATATTGTTCCAATATTATTTTGTGGTTGAAAATTATTTTTTATAATGCAAATTGAACTCAACATTTCCAAATAGTATGTTTTAGGGGTAAAATAGTAAATTCAGTAAATTTCAGATGGTAAAGGGTTGATCCAAAACAAACAAACTTATGAATTCAGATCCTCTAAAAAGTAGAAAAGCATCTATGCCTCTTTTCAGATTTCAGACACTTTTAATATCTTTTTAACTTTTCATATCTGAATTTTCAGATTAATCAAACGCCACCTTAATCTCATTATTTATCACGAAAGAAATAGAGGAATAATATGTTCCAATTGAACTCACAACAGACTTCACCACTAGTTAAATAATGTAATATGCAATATTCACCACTATGCTATCTTAAGCAACCCTGAAAACCTAGAATTTAGCAGCAATTTGATCATCTTAACACCATCCAAGAAAATATGTTCTGAAACAGGATTGATCAAGACAGATGGACTGTTTGAAATGGGCATCTGATCCATTTTGTATCTAGTTTACAAATTAAATATGAAACAGAAAACAGGAAACCCTCAAACAACTAAGTATTCTGGGGAGTTTTTCATGTAGGTGGTCTGGTAGACTAGTACAAACCATCCAAGTTACCAGTGAATAAAATAAATAAATAAACAAGAAACAAAGAAAAAAAATTGTTGATTCCATGGTCAGCGTTGTGGTTAACACTGTGTTATGCATCAAATAATAAATATTTCTTCTTTGTTGAGATGAAACCGACGAGCTCAGTGGACCTCCCAATTGCTAGATTTGAGACATCCTCTCATTGGCTGTCCTCAGCTGAATTGGTGTTCCCCATGATTTTTAAGGTCCTAGAATCTTGAGATTCACCTATTAAACATGTCAGAAGAGATCCTCATTTCTCAACTTAAAATGTTAGCACAATTAATGGCACGCAATTATGCAAAATGATTAAGGAATCTGGATGGCAAGGAGGAAAACAAGGAACTGGACAAAAAAAGGAAGATAAGGCATACAAAATTGGGGAAACAAGACTTCTTAGTAATACTGGTTACTGGGCTATGTATGAGACTAATTTTTCCAAGGTTATTTTGCCAAAATGCAGCTAGAAAGAACTAAGAAGTCGGAATAAGTACTTGGGCCTGTAGATCCAATGATTGATTTCTGCATCAGATCAGCTTATCCGCCAAAACGAAAAGGTTATTGAGGTTCATGTGTATGGATGTGAAAGATTCTTAGTAGAATCTGAACTGATTTTTTCTTCGATATATCCCCCACCCCTCCCGGGTGGTGAACGAGTCAAAAAGAAAGACTAGGTTCTTCATCGAATTACTTCTTCGTTTAGCGGATCCGATGAAGACATGTTTAACGTCACAAGTCTCATAAAGAAAGATACTCCCTAACAATACAACAAAACCCCAAAATTGCTACTGAAAAGAAAATTTTTAGATTTCAATTCCAATTCATGACTTCCCTCTACAGAGATACTAAATTAAATCTATATCTATTGGATTTAGACTCAGATCAAACCTTCCGAATATGCTTCACACCGATAAACCTTCATATTCAGAAATACTAAAACGAACAAAACTGCAACCAAATTAAAAGCAAAAGCGGTTCAAAGAAAAAAAGAAGAGAAGCTTGCGGACTACCATATTCGAAGGGTTATGCTGCACGAAGGATCAAAACACGAGCAGATCCAAATTCACTCTGCAAACGCGAGATACTCCTTTAGGTTTTCTACTAGAAATCGAATCGATCTATAAAGAATCTAGACAAAAAGCTCTCAAAGAAGAGACTCTTTGAGCGGAATGGTATCAATTTGAAAACGTTACATACCTGTGAGTGACGACGACGGCGCTGGAGAGGATTGTAAATGAGCTCCGAGACTGAAAAGCAAAGAAAGAAACGATTGAAATGAGATTCACAACCGGGGAAGAAAGCAATCCTTGGTTTGAAAGATGTTAGTGTCTTCACTCTTCACGTGTGACCCTTGTCACATGTGTTCGTTTTTTTAACGATGACGACGCGAGAATGACTTCAATCGAGAATTTTCATTTTCTAAATCCAGATTTTTCCACTTCAATCGAGAATTTCTGGCGGATTTGTTTATGGGAGAATGACGGTTCAGCCCAGAGTTAGAGTTCTTAGGCCAACGTACAATTGGGGCATATGCCAATTCGGATTTGATGTTAACTGAGGGGTGATTATTGATGTATAGAGTGAGTGTATTTGACATTTTAAATTATTGTAATTCTATAGTGGAATTCAGAATTTTGAAGTGAATTGCAATATATCTTTTCCGTTTTTTCATCCCATTTCAAATGAGAAATGGAAGTTGGGCAAAACCAAATACGATTCTTCTTTTCTAGAATCTCCATAAACGATTCCGTGTAAGAATGCCAAACGAGGATAAATGGAGTCCAATCTCCTGCCAATACAAATTCTATCTATATTTATTATAGCCAGAATGGAGAATATTTCATTTTTGCATAGTATTATATAAGAGAAAATGTTCCCAATTTATGGAATAGTATTTTATGGGTAGAGGTGAACATAATTCTCGTGGGCAGGAGATCCAGAATGGGATTTTTACTTCAAATCTGAGATTCTCGAAAACGAGAAAAAGTCGTTTACGATTACACGTGGGAACATGGGCGGCACTTGGATAATTTTGTAAAAAAATAGACAACAGCCTTATATTTCTCCATTTTGGCGTGTTCTTCTCCACGCTGCAACGGCTCTCTCTGCATGCTTTCTTCTCACACGCAACCCACAAGCTCTCAGGTAAAGATCTCATCGTTTTCTTCAATTTTTTTGCTATTATAGACTCACATATTGTTCTCTTTCAACCGACATCTACTTTGCCTCCGTTCTGAAAATTTTTCCAGGTTTCTTCAAGCTCTATTGTTCTTAAACGCACAATAAAATCTAGGTAAACAAACTTCTACTCTTTATCTCGCACTGGTTTACTTTTTTTTATTTCTCTTTTAACCATTTGTTTCTCTGTTCTTCTACGTGTTTTCAACGTTTTTCTCCTCTGTTGTAAACCCAAGCTGCAATTTCAGACAGCAGCTTTTGGATTTGTTTTTTATGCTGTGGTTGTGTTCAATGGACATTGGGTAATGTTCTAATCGAAGTTGGGAAGACATGAAGACCTGATTATATAGGTTCATTCTAGATTTTTTAGGGTAAATTATAAAGACACCCTTAACTATGGGGTATGTGACAAAGACCCCTGTACTTTGTTTTGTATAAAGGGCACAAAGATCCCTTTCTACTATGACCATGAGACAAAAAAGTCTTTCGTTGAAATCCACTATTGCAATATTTTTTAATCCCCATGTTATCCTTATAATAGTTATTCGGACAATTGGAAGAAAAACATTATTCATCTTCCCGGATCTCACAATACACAAATAACAGCGGTGATAATCCCTTTTACTTTAGATTTCTTCACATTTCTCTCTCTCCCCCGATCTTTCTTATTCCCCTTCCCCTTTCTTCTTCTTGCTTTCCTCTGTTTTCCATTCCTCTCAGTCATACAAGAAATTGCAATTCTTCCCCTTTTCTCTTCTTTTTCTTTTTTAAATTATTTAGTTTTAATCTGTTTTTGGTTTAGAGAGAGAGACTTGCAGAGCTGAAATCCCCGAGAGCCCAAATGAATGGATTTTTTGGGTCTGACGGAGATTGTCACCTGTCTTTTTCAGGGAAAGCCTCCTGAACTCCACCATCAGTTTCATTGAAGAAAACAACGTGGGTAATGCCGTTGCGTTGTGACCAGCAGCGATCACACGGATCACCACTTATTAAATCCAATCTATCGCACAGAGAGAGATCAGACGGGTACGTGGAAACGACAAAATCGCGCTCCCTTCTTTTTTTTTCACCGTATACAGCTCGGCTCAGGCTTATTCGTTGGTCTCTTGTTTATTATTCCTGAATTTGGTAAGGTATGAATAAAATTTTACTTCACAAGTTTGGGTAGAGAGATAGAAGAACATGTAACTTCTCTTTCTTTTTTTATATGAATGTAATAGTGATTTACACACAATATAGTACAATGTAACTTCAATTGGGCTTATATTTATTAGAATTAACACGATTTTCCTTATACGTCAATTGATTCCAAGAAATAGGATGATGCCAAACGTGATTTTGTTCGTAAGAAACAAGAATAAGATTACTGTGTCAAATACATCTGGTGGTTCTCTAGATGAAAATTCTGAGGATGCATTCTTCTTTGAAAGGATTCTAAGAACGAAAATCCCAGAATTGATGCCAAACAGGGCCTAAGGTTTTACCTGGCTTCAGGCCTGTCAATGGGCCGGGTCTACCTGACAAACATGAACCGTTTGAACCTCTAGTTTTATGAATTATTTCAACAAGCCAGTTCTGGTTTTAATTTTTCTGTCCCGATTATTATCAATTTGACACCAGTTTTGGCTATCCCTAACAGATTAGATCTGAACAGGTTATATATATTTATTATACTTTACATGTTTTATTATGTTATATGTAATAAAAGTATTATGTATGTCTAAAATCATGGTTTTTCAAAACCGGACCGGAAAAATCGTTAACCGGTCAGCCCCCCCGGGTCCGGTTATACTAGAAATCAGAAATTCCTTAAAAACGTTGAAAATTTCAGAAAACCGTTGACCCGGGCGGTCGGACTTCAACTCGGGCAGCGGTTCGCGGGTTATCCTTTTTATTTTCACTGTTTTAAATAAAATAAAATAAAAAACAAAAAATAAAATGACTTCAATATCCCCATCCCAAATCGAATGTTTAGGCCCTTTAGGGTTAGAACCCCCATTTTTGTTCTAACCTTCCCTCCTCTCAGCCCTCACACCCAACTGATCACCTGCGGTGGCCAGCACCTCCGTTGTCTAACGGTGACACATACAGACCAACGGCGACTGACAACAACAAATTTGCAACGGTGGCTAGCGTATTTTGCAGCACTTCTAGGCTCCAGCAATAAGAGTTGTTGTAGGCGAGTTTGCAACGGCAAGTGGCGAGTTTGTAGTGGTTGTCCGGCGAGTTTGCAGTGGCGGGTGGGGAGTTTGTAGTGGCAGTAACACCACCATTGGCGATTCTACAAGTTGCAACAGCACTTGCAGCGGGAACTTGCCTACGACCAAGCCCGAGCCCATCGATTGCGAGCCCACTTTTACACCACCATTACCAGTAGTGAAATCGTGAATGACCTAAAGGTATAATTTTTTTCTGATTTTTTTTGTAACTTTAATTGATTCTTTGATATTTTTGCTTAATTCTTTGTTTAATTAATGTTGCTTAATTATTTTTCTGAATTCTTTGCTTAATTAATTACAGAATTCACATACTCACATTGGCTTAATTATTTTGTTTTATTAGTTTTTCAATTCTTTGCTTATTTGCTATGCGAATGATGATGATGATGATCAGATGATGTCAAAGAGTGATAAAATATTAATTTTTTTCTGGAATTTTCGTTTTTTTCTGTATTTATTTCCAATTTATTTATTTTATTTTTTTCTATATTTCTTTTGCAATTTTCTGTTTTTTCTATATTTATTTGCAATTTTTTGTTTTCTCTATATTTGTTTTCCAATTTTCTGTTTTATTTTTCTGGTTTTTTCTGTATTTATTTGCAATTTCTTTTTTTTTTGTTTTTTTCTGTATTTTTGACTTTTTTGTTTTTGTATTTTTTCATTATTTTTTTGTATTTATTTACAATTTTCTGTTTTATTTTTCTGTATTTTTTATATATTTATTTGCACTTTTATGTTTTATTTTTCTATTTTTTCTGTACTTATTTTTACTTTTATGTTTTATTTTCAGTTTTTTCTGTATTTATTTGCACTTTTCTATATTTTTTCTGTATTTTCCTCTATTTATTTGCAATTTTTTGTTTTATTTTACTGTTTTTTTGTATTTTTTCAGTATTTTCTGTACTTTTTTCTGTATTTTCTATTTGTTATGTACTTTGTTATTTTTGTATTTAGATAGTTTTATTTTTCTATTTTTTTCTGTATTTTTTGAATTTTTTGTTTTTTTTTCTATATTTCTGTTTTAAAATTTCTATGTATTTAGTACTGTATTGTTTTTTATTTAGATAGTTTTATTTTCTGTACTTTTTTCTATTTTTTATTAAATTTTATGCTATTTTTTATTTTTTATTTATTTATGACATCACGAGTTGAACTGTTCGACCGAACGGTTGAACCGCTTAACTAGAAACTAGTCCCCTGCCCGGTTCTGTTTCCGGTTCACTTTTAGAAACCATGTCTAAAATTGAACGAAAAAAGAGGAAGCCAAAGCTCTCACCTCTTAGCTCAATTTCTAGTTTGAACTTCCAATTTGAAGTTGTGTTCTCATTCCTCAAACTTGAAAGGTGGAAATCCTCCTCTCTCAACGGCCAAAGCGTAAAGGTGTAGTTCAGATTTTTGTTCCATTGAATCCATATTAAAGAAAGATTGTTTGAAGACTTCAAAATGGGAAAAACCCCTAAAACATCAAAGCAGATTGTAGCCAAAGCATGTGTTTTCTCCAGTTTGAACTTGAAAAAACCAAATCATTCAAAGTCGAAGACTTCAAAGTGTAACAAGGCTTTTTCCATTTATGTTTATTTTCTCTTTTTCATCTTCGTCATTGGTGGTAGTGGCAATGGCAGTGAGATTCACCTCCAAACTCTTGTATTTTTTCTTACCAAAAAGCATAGTTCTTAGGTATTAAGAAGGTTTTTTATTTAATCGAATCCAATCAGGTTAGACCTGATTGTCCCAGTTGCCCATTGGTTTGGTACCAGTTTTAAAATAATAGAACCGATTGTATTTGGTTCGGTTCTTGTACTATTGGTTTTAGTAATCAATTCGAATCAATTCTAGCATGTCCCAAACAAGACCAAGACCCTAGACAACCCTAGTTGGCTTGTTAACAAATACATATTTTATCAATCAATAAATAAATATATACACACATGTATATTATATGTTGTTGGACAATTATGCCCTTAACTCCAATCAGGTTGATGTATCTTTTGACATTTATAGTAAATGAATAAAGTACATCATTGATTCATGTCATTGTGGTATATTTCTATGTAATACCCTTAAACTGGACGCTTATGAGACTCGTGTTAGTTTAGAATCTTCACAGCCGTTGGATAGATCTGGAGAGATTTATCCTACCAAGGCTAACACTGATGTGCTGCCAAGTTGGTTGGGGTGGCTTGTCTCAGCTACCAAGGTGAGACATGAGGTACATGCAGTGTGGGTTTTCTTGAAACCCTGAACCAGACCAAATTTCAGTATTACCCTAGACCTTGGAGACAGATGGGCAAAACTGGAATGTTACACCTGACCCCTAGACTCAATTATGATACTACACTAGGTGTCGAATTGGGCTGTCTTTGATATGCCAATTAGTGAGATCCTTAGAGGGGATCAAAACTTGGGTATGTTGGGACAGTCCGAGAATTCATCTGAGTTGGTGATTATAGTGACATGATCAGCCCCTTTGTCGGACAAAGTGAATGATTAGGTAATGCACTCTCTCTGATGGAAAATGTTTGCAAAATGTTTGCAAAAATGTTTTAATTCCCGGGATCCATGTGAGTAGAGAGTGCAACACTGTACCTTGCAGCCGAGGGAGAGGTCCTTTCTTGTCGGGCAATGTTTGATCATTATGGGCTGAGAGGTTAAGTGTAAGACCATTGAGGGTAATACCTGATGAGCTAATCTTGCATCTGCCTATCCTTGGGTTTTCATAAGGTGGTTGGACCCAAGGGCCATTTAGTGTAAATGCTAGGCCCATTAAGAGCCCATGGTGATGGACTCGGGGGTTGATTGTCTCCTAAAGTGAATTCGGCCAGGCCTTATAACAAAGGCTGGGCGAACCCATGTGGCTGATGTGTAGATCAATGTTTGGGTCCCATGCCATACAAAGAGAGCCAACTAGGCAGCAAGATAAGGGGTAAGTGAGCACATAAGCTTAATGGGCCTAAACCCAATTCGAACTGGTTTTTAATTAATTAATTAATTAAAAGGATGCAATATCTGATTTATAATCTGATTAGGATTAGCTGAAAGGATAAGATAAGTCTTATCCATTTAAGAGTCCAGATCCAAATATCAAATTTGGATCAAGAAACTCTCTCCTAATTAGATTAGGAGGCTGATCCATAGAAGACTATAAATAGGGGCAAATTCCTCAGTTTTAACACACAACAACCTGTATAATTCTCTCCTATTCTTGCCATCCCTACCCAGTTTGTTCTCCTCTTGTGGAGTTGATCAAGAAAGGTTCTTGATATTGTTCCTTGGTTGAAGAAACAATCTGAAGTCGTGCTCACTAGCCCTTGTTCGATTCTTGCTGAAGATTTTTGGTTCTTGCTGAAGAGCCATCCTGCTAATCCTGCTTCATCACACACTGTGTCATTTTCATTAGAAGCGGATTTTGGTCTTCTCCTTGGGCATGAACACCTTCATTGGGAGTTACTGCTACTTCGTATCAGGTATATCCCTCTCCTCCCTTTTGGTTTCAGACCTGGTCTGGTTTTGGATTTAAGAACAAACCTTGAAAATGCAGTTTTCTAAATTAGGGAATGCGATTCCCGGACGTGAGAAAAGAAATTTTTGAAATTTCGCCCAACCTTCCTATAGTCTTTGGCCATCCATATGATGGATCTCCCATCCCTTCATTGTTTGTAAAAATACATATTTTATCAATAAATAGTCTATAATTATGATTTGAGGCCAAACAAAGAGTTTTCTTGCAAAAATAGTGGAGCAAAGTACCTTACAACACCTTGGGATGAATAAATCTCAAAAAATTACCCAAAATCAAAAAAAAAATAAAGATCACCCCAATCGTACATTGGAATGCAAAGTTATGACTTTTGAAAGTTTACACACATTAAATGCACAACCTATGACATAGCGACAAGGTCGAATGGGTCAGCGGTTAAACCACCTAGGTCAAATAGTTTTTGACCAAATAGAAATTTCAACAGAACTGAAGTTGGAATAATTCTATTGGTTTTAGTAATCAATTTAGGACAATTCTAGCATGTCCCGAACAAGACAT